CGGTGAGGCATTGGTGGTAGTGTTGGTCGTATCGGTGGTAATGTTGGTTAGGGTGTCATCTGTGAGAACAGACACCACAAGTGTTGACAAGATTATAACAAATAGTTTTGAATCCATTTTTGTTACATACTGTTTATACTGTTTATGCAAACAATTTTTCTTATGGTTTTTAGTTTCATTTAATAAACATATTTGATTTATAAAACTTAATTAGGTGTTAATATGGGATCTAAGCTTAACTGAAATATGTTAATGAAATGTTATGGATTTACAATTACACCAAAAATATAATTTTTTATAAAGGGGTGCAAATGTGAAATGAATTGGATTTAATCTTTAGAGAGAGACACAAAATTTTAAACATTTTAAATCTAAAAAATTTATAGTTTAAATTATTTTTAAAAATAATTACTATATTATAATTTATCTATTATGTATTATGTATCATTTTTAAATTGATTTCTATGTATTATAATTTATAAATAGGTAGTCTAAATAGCATCTTTAATTAGGTGAATACACACCTCTATAAATAAATTTAATTTGAAGTTGAAATTGATTGTTTATACATATTGGTATAATTGGGAAAAAAATCTAAAAATATTTAATAAAAATTGAAATTGGTAATAAGGTTTTATAAATTAATTAAACAAATTAGAAACCCCCTATAATGCTTAACATAAATCACATTAATTCTATTTTAAATAAATTATATTTTTATTTTAATACATCACTAAATATAATTATATAAATTTTAAATTTATATAATTATATTTAGTGATGTATTAAAATAAAAATATAATTTATTTAAAATAGAATTAATGTGATTTATGTTAAGCATTATAGGGGGTTTCTAATTTGTTTAATTAATTTATAAAACCTTCAATTTTTATTAAATATTTTTAGATTTTTTTCCCAATACTACCAATATGTATAAACAATCAATTTCAACTTCAAATTAAATTTATTTATAGAGGTGTGTATTCACCTAATTAAAGATGATGCTATTTAGACTACCTATTTATAAATTATAATACATAGAAATCAATTTAAAAATGATACATAATACATAATAGATAAATTATAATATAGTAGTTATTTTTAAAAATAATTTAAACTATAAATTTTTTTAGATTTAAAATGTTTAAAATTTTGTGTCTCTCTCTAAAGATTAAATCCAATTCATTTCACATTTGCACCCCTTTATAAAAATTATATTTTGGTGTAATTGTAAATCCATAACAATTCATTTACATATTTCAGTTAAGCTTAGATCCCATATTAACACTTAATTAAGTTTTATAAATCAAATATGTTTATTAAATGAAACTAAAAACCATAAGAAAAATTGTTTGCATAAACAGTATAAACAGTATAAACAGTTTGTAACAAAAATGGATTCAAAACTATTTGTTATAATCTTGTCAACACTTGTGGTGTCTGTTCTCACAGATGACACCCTAACCAACATTACCACCGATACGACCAACACTACCACCAATGCCTCACCGGTACAGGTAGTCATACACGTGTGGAAACCCCAGCACTCGTGGAACGACTGTCCGCAGAGGAACGGGTCGTGCGAGCGATGCCTCCGGAATAGTCACTGCTATTACTGTTCGAGTGATAAGTCGTGTCATACATCGGCTCCCTATCGCCACTCTTATAGCAAGTGGCGGCACGACTGTGACAGCCTGTCCACTATGTATTGGCACACCTGTGGCCTCAGCGTACAGACCATTGCTATTGTATGCGCCTCTATGGCCGGCGCTGTGCTGTTTGCGTCAGTATTTGGATGTCTTATGGCGTTCATGTCTTGCGATAAGTACCGGTGCCGTCAACACCAGCAGCAGAATGAGATGGAGATGACGGAAAGGGCGGCCAGAGTGGCGGCCCTTTCGCAACAAAGGAAAAGGCATAGCCAATGGGTGACTGAATTGATGGGGAGGTATGTGGGAAAGGGAACGGATGTCACCCTAAATAATATTAATAAGATTAGTGGCAAAAATTATTCCCGATTTTAGTGATTATTCTGATCAATGTATTCTTAATTATTTGTTTTATGAGTTATTATGTTTAATATTAATTATAATAATTATTTGTAATTTATTAATCTAATTGATTGAGTATTTTTGATTAAAATAAATAGTAACTTCTATTACGGTTTTACTCATTTATTTGTAATTAATATATAATAATAATAATAATTTTCTTTATAATTGCATTTTGAGATTAGATAGAATTGTAAAATATAGATAAATCTTTTAGTTCTGATAAAAAGTATACAATTTCTATGAAGTATATTAAGAATCATTTATAATTATAATTTGATATAATATTAATACTAATTAATTCAAATATTTATATTTTCCTCTATTCATTGTACATGTTAAATTATTAGTAACGTAAATTAACATTAATTAGTAAAATTATTACAAACATACTACGGTATTACCGGTGAGAAAGAAAGTTTATTAATTATTTTTAATACTGTTCACATAAAATTTAAATTTTTTGTTTTATGTTAGGATAAACGATTCCATACAGATTTAATATTAAATACATTAAATTAATTTATTATAATTTCAAATTTACAAATAAAAAACTAATTCCATGATAATTTTAAATTATTACTTACTCTTATCTTAAAAATTAGAAAGAATGTAATAATTGTTTCATTGGATTAAAAATATTCTGTAATATAAGATACTAATGAATCACATGATTCAGTATTACCTCCCTGTTCTATTGCTTACAGTAGGACTGGTAGGTTATTGTTTGCTAGAAACTAGAGGTAGATGCTATTTTCAAAATATACGAGATTATTTACACAAAAAGTTCATAAGCATGCTGTCTAATCTAATAAATCATAAGTGTCTAGGTACGATTAATGTACTGTTAAGTGATCTTTTTATTGTCTACAGACACTTCAGATGTTTAATTCTCATTTAAGAATATTATTGCATTTAAATTATGTAAAAATTGTGATAATTCCAAGAATTAGTATTTCACATCAGATTTAACTCACAAATACTTTTGTATAAAAAGAGTTGTGTATTGAATCAAATCAATTATAAGCGTAATAATTATGAAAGTCTTATCCATAGTCTGCTTACTATTTGTTGTGGCGAATGCCGTGCCTTTTGGCCAATACTTAGGGTCTGAGTCCAGCTTTAATGGTACGAATTGGGCGGTGTTATGCGCTGGTAGTAATACCTGGGATAACTACAGGCACCAGGCTGATTTATACCATGCGTACCAAGTGATCAAAGCCCACGGTATACCTGAGGACAACATAATTGTCATGCATTTCGACGATATCGCCAATAATAAGGAGAACCCCACGCCTGGGGTTGTCATCAACAAACCCAAAGGTCCAGACGTCTATAAGGGTGTTCCCAAACATTATACCGGCAATGATGTCACTCCACAGGTATTTTCATTATAGATAATAAAAATGAGAAATGTTTTTATAATGGTTTTTGTTGTTATTATTATTATTGCAGAACTTTTTGGGTGTTCTTCGAGGCGATGAACTGTTGGCCAGAGATGGCAAGAAAGTGCTGAAGAGTGGACCCAATGATCATGTGTTCGTCTATTTCGTCGATCATGGATCCCCGGGTCAGTTAACTCTTTCAAAATGAAAACTAATACCCTTTAAAAACTAGTAATTAAGTACAACTAACCTTCACATTTATATAGACCTGATCCAGTTCCCCAAGACCTACCTGCACGGTGAGGAATTAGCTAAAGAGTTGATTGCAATGCACAAAAATAATAAATTCGCCAAGCTCGTATTTTATATCGAGGCCTGTTATTCCGGTATGATTTTTACTTCAGAAAATATATATTTTCAGATTGTTATTGAATTCAATGTTAATAATTTGCTCATTAATTAAAGGCTCGATGTTTGAGACACTTTTGCCCAAAGATATCAACGTCTATGTGGCCACCAGTTCTGGACCCAATGAGTCGAGCTACCTGTGCTGGGATGTCCCTAAGCTAGGATATTTGTGTCAGTTACTGCTAAATGACATGATATAATATCAATATATAATTAAGCATTTGATGCCCTAAACAGCCGACCCCTACACAGCCGCCTGGCTCTACAACAGTGAGCACAAGGATCTGACAAAAGAGACTCTTCAGGATCAGTACAACTTCATCGCCGATGTCATCAATAAATCTGACGAACATGATGAACAACACTCCCACCAATATGGAGACCTATCCATCGCTAAGCTTCCGGTGTCACAGTTTTTGGGATCCAAAAAGGTAGTCCTACCGGCGCCCACACCCGTGTCCAACGAGAACTGCAAAGCCATTCCCTCGGATGAGGCGGTCATTCATTTAATACAAAAACGAATTGAAGCCACGAATGATGTCCACGAGAAGCACAGGTATGGTATCAATACCTTTTGTGCTATTTTATGAGTTATAATGGAAAGGCATTAGAAATCACAAAATAGCACCTCATTCATAATACTAATGATTTAATGAACTTAACAAACAAAGTCTAATTTGTTTATTAATTTGTTTGACAGTCTTCTCAAACAATTGAGTGAAATATTAAAGGGCCGACAGTTTGTCAATAACTTTCTCAACCAATACGTCGATAGCATCAAACACTTGACACATATGGACACCAATGCTATACTAACCACCAAACAGGACCTCACAAACAGACCCTGTTATAGACGATTTGTGGACACTTTCCATCAAAAGTGTTTTAATATTAATCAGGTATTCATTGACACAATAGTCACTCAATTATTTCACATTTAGATTTAGTTAACAATTGTTTGTGTCTAATCTATAGCACACGTATGCCTTCAACAAATTGAATACATTTGTCAATATATGCCAACAATTGACTGATTCAAATGATGTTACCATTGCTGTCGAGCACCTGGAGATGTCCTGTACCAAATTGGGAACTAGGCAGGCTCATTTTGAGGCCATTCTCTAATTTAAACACTCTGTAAAATTTTAATGTAAATTACTTTAACGTAATTGTAATTATTAAATAAAAATTTGATTTAACTTAAATATCGTTGGTTTAAATTCCTTTGTATAAATTGATATAAATTAAACATTTTTATTTTAAACGGTATGCGGTATACCTCGTCTATGCTGGTAATATAATAAACTAAAGAATCAATAATAAATGCTATTTGAATTAATTAGTTTATAAATTTTTAACTAATTTTTTATTGGAATTTCCCTTTTAATGAACACAATTATTACAATATTATTTTTAATATCAAATATTTTCCTTTAGAAACGGATACCTTCAAACATTTATCAAACATTTTCCTTCAGTGTTATGCACTATTGATAAAATAATATTTTTCATAAAATTATTAGTATTTCAATATTGATATTGTGTTTAAGCATAGAAAAGTTAGTAATTTATATTTATTAATAAATTGTTTATTAAGGATTCTTAAATAATTAATAAAATGAAGTGTGCACTTGTAATTATATTTATTTCTGGATTAATATGCTGTTAGTATAATATTTAAAATTTTCATCTTAAAAACTAAATTATAAATAAATAAATAGTATGAATTTTTTAAAAGTAAATAGAGTAATTTTAAAAATATAATAAAATGTTATGTCAATTAATAGTATATAATATTACAAATTTTGTTAATACCTGTAGCCATAGGGGGCCAGCGTCTACACCGCCACGTCCTAATGGGTCGCTTACAGCCTTTGATACGCGAATATGAGGGCCATTTCCACCGACACCGATACTCAAACGCCCGGTTAGCCGCTAGACTGGACCAGGAATTACGGCTAATACGCGAACTGGAAAGGGAACTATTGTTGGCTGAGGACATACTCGAAGCTAAACAGTTCGGACATTATGAGGGCCGGTATGATAGACACTACAATCGACTCCAGGATATTCTTGTTGATTAAATTATAAAATGTTTTATTTAATTTGTTTTGATTTTAGTTGCTATTTTCAATAGTATTTGATTTGTTAGAGAAAGTTTAATATGTTAAAGATTTTAATATAATGTACATTAGCATTAACATTTTATGAATTATAATTTTATTTTGAATACTGCTAAACACCTGAATTAGTGAAGTAATTGCATACTGTTACAATTATGCAATAATTTTATAAAAACATTATTAGTGAGTATATGGTATAATAGAATGTATTCAGGTAAAATGTATTTCTAATTTAACAATGAAATACAAATACAGATATCGGTGCTGTTTTAAAATAATATAATAATTTAGTATTTCTAAACTAATTTGTGTATTATTTGTATTTAATTGATTTAATAATGTAATAAATTATTGTTATATTTATTAATTTGCATAGAATTTTATTCTAAATAATTCACATATTAATAAATTATTTTATCTTGATAAAAAACATTTACGAAGAAGTCTATTATTACAACATGTTATAACTTATTCTGAGAATTTAACATACTTTCCGTTTAAATTATTTTATCGGCCATGAAATATAAGTTATTCATGTTATATATTTTATATTGATTACTGATGTAAATATTTTAATGGAAAATAATTAATTTGATATAATATAATTAATATGTTTCATGACCAAGGAATGGTCACCACAATAGTGATAACTATATTTACAGGAATGATATTAATGTGTTTCCTAATGTGTTGCATATGCTATAAACGGTGTTCAACTAAACCTGATTACGAGGTGATGGATGTCAAGACAAAAACGACAGGTATTTTGACCGATAAACAGATCCACAGAATAATGAGTGATTTGGCAAACCCTCAATACAAACAATGAATTTATGTGAACTTTTGGATGGATATAATGTGGTTTATATTAATTATATTTATTTAATTTTTGAAACCTTTATTAATTTTATCGTAATTTTAAATGCTAATTGTGCTATTCATTAATGTAACCGTTTTTATCACATGTGTTTGTCTATTAACTAATCCAAGTGTTAGTCTGCGTTTTCTATACTCTATCAATGAATTAATATCAGGATAATAATAACATTGTTTAAATACTCTATAATGAAGTAGCGACTAGCTATGAATAGTAAATTTCCATATCTGGCATAGATACAAATGAGAAAAATATTGTATTTATAAAATAAATTTATATTGATATGGTATAATACTGTAAAATTGGAAAGTTATATAAAAGCAGAGATGAAAATATTGTTTGGTTTTAAAAACCAAATATATCTAATATATACCTATCATATGTATATTAATTTATATATTTTTTCATTTATAAAAATTTGTTGATTTTGACTAATTTGTAAATAGAATTATGTATTAAATAAATAATAATAAAATGCATAATAAATTAAATATTTGTTATTATTTTAATATTTACTGTTGGCTTTATATAAAAATAAGATCCAGTTATTATTGTATAAAAACTTTCTATTAGAAAGACTTAGCTTGTAATTTAAAATAATACTATACTTATGGTATAAAAATTGTTATTATAGTATATTGTTATTGTTAATATATAAATAATAGTATATTTATTATTATTATAATTATATAAATGATTTCACTCTGGGAATTTGTAACATGTGTTTGATAACTTATTTCAAGTGTTTGTCTACTATTTATTGTTTCAATAAATAAATATTTGTTAAATTTAAAATACTAATCTATTTACGATTAAATCATTTAATTTTAAATGTGATGAATAATTAAATTGTAATAGATTAAAAAATATAATTTATATTATGTTTCAAGTAGAACACATTATGGGAGTTTTTATCGTTTTAATCCTGGTCATCGTGTGCCTCATATTATTTTACTGTTTATTTAGAAAACTGTTTGCATTAAGACATCGATTAAACTATGATCAAGCTGAATCCGGACAGGGTGTATTTCCAATATAACAATTTGAATTCAATTTACTTGATGCTCAATCATCTAATCTACTGCAATCATAAATATAATCAAACTATTCTGAGAAAACTCATTTTTATATAAAGATACTGAATATGTTTGTGATATCACTAAACAGATTTAAATATATTTAAAAGTTATATTGGTATAAAATTTTATATCGTTTCACTACATATTAATTATGTTTAAATCAAAATTTGTTCTACGTACTCACATAATAATTTTAATATTAATTTTTATAACACCCTAAATATCATATTTACTCGGCTTAAGCATTTATGCATATCACATGATTTATTAAATTTTGTTTTGTTTTATTACATAAACACTTAATACACATCTCATCACATGATTAATGGATTGATTGCCGGATATAAAAGTTTAAGTTATAAAACATAATTCACATCAAATATAAAGGTTTGAATTTCATTTTGTTATTTATGACACAAATAAAGTTTTATAGTATTTTAAGTAAATTGTTGTAAATATATAAACTTAAATTCCGGTATAATTATCAAGTTACATTTTAAACTTACTAAATTTGAATCATAATATTGTTTAAACATTAAATGAATTTTCATCATTTAGTAATATAAAATTAAATTTTATCTGAATTTACATATTTTGTTATGAAATATTAATAAAGAAAATTATTTCCTATTTATAAAATTTTCTATTCATTTTATTAAAGTACAATTCTTTTACAACACATATTTTGATAACTTACTATTAAAATTAAATTTTAATATGTAATTGATATTTTTTATATGATAAAACATTTGTTTAAATATTGACTAAATTGTTTAAAAATTATAAATTTTATAACTATTTTTATGCTTAAATAAAAATAAAATTTACTTTAAACACTATTTACTTGATTTGAATTATAAATTGTTATAATGTGTGTGAGTGTGAGGGAGTGAAGGAGAGAGAGAGAGAGAGAGAGAGAGAGAGAGAGACTTCTTTCAGAAACTAACAAATAATTAATTAAAAATTACTTCCGAAAGTGTTGTTTTATTTTGAATATCCAAACCCCAAACCCATACAATCCAATTATAAAACCAAGGAAACCCTTAATAAAGTTTCTATTGTGAAAATGCTAAATATGACTATATATTTGTGAGTTAAGTATTTAATTCTTTAATAATACATAATTATATATACTTTGCTAATTTAATTCACAACAATCCCACTATTTTAGATTATTATATGTTTAATAGAGAACATATAGTTAATCAAAATAAATTCATGATTTTTGTTATTTTTATTTTATTTTGTTACTATATGAAAAACTATATTAAGAAAAATATAATATATTATTAAAAGAAAGGGAAACTTAGATTATAGATATTTAA